TCACAACGGATCCAACTTTGAAAAAAAATTTCTTGGTTCAAATTAAGAAAGTTGGAGACATATATATACATATATATTAAATTGTCATACAATTTTTGAAGCAATTGGCATTGAAAAAAAAAAAAAAAATTTTTTTAAATTTAAGCTGTTTATTGTGTAAATCTGTTCTGTTTAAAAAGTATTCCAGATTAACAAAATTGATATACAAATACTTCTTCATTCTTTCTTTTATTACTTCCTCCTTTTCTCCTTACCCCTCCCCTCAAAAATAAAAACTATAAAAACAAGGCAATATTTTTTATTTTTTTTTTATCTCATCGGTTTTTTTTAACCGTTCTTTTTTTATAAAGAAAACATTTTAACTTAAATTATTTGGACATTATGCAACAAAAAAATGGATTATCAATAATACTTTATTCTACCTTGTCCACAAAAAAGCGTCTTCAATTCCATACGTGGACGACCTGTTATTCCTGTAAACAACACAATAGATCATTAATTAAAAATAAAATCGATAATATAATAGAAGGTGGTTGTTCAAATCAACCACCGATACAACAACAAGAGGGAAGAGTAAACGTCGAACAGCAACAAAATGATAGCATAACAATCATACCGGGGAATGATGGTTTCGCCAAAGTCCCTCATGAAATAATGATGAATATCATGGATAACCTGGAAGTCAATGACGTTTTATCGCTTTCCATGGTGAACAGAAAACTTCGAGCTCACACACATGACAATTACCTATGGCGTCAAATATTATTGAGCCAGTACGGTGAAATTGCCATACAAAATCATCAGGATAAATTGTTATTAAACAATCATCGGAAAGGAAAATGGAAGCGCACAAAAAATAAGCAAATTCCTTCGGTACCAGATTGGAAGAAAGTCTACATGCGTCTATCTACTGTCAAGGTTAAAACCAAAACTGCCTTCTCAAGGGGTAGACCTGGGACTTTCTACCGTTATAGATATTTTGATCATAAGGATAATGAGCCTAGGTAACGTACCAATGCATTTAGAACGTTTTTTTCATCGGGTTGCGTCGTAATTTATTTAATTTTTTTTTTTTTTTTTTAATCAACAGCAATAGGATCAAACAAAAACAACGTTCCTTCAATGTAAGACAGTTTAAAATGATTTATGATTTCTCTAGTTTACAACAAATTATTGATTCGATCCTTTTCATCCGCCTTTTTTAGATTGAAATTACGATAAGTAATGTACCGCCTGGCATTTATGACATTATTTGGCGTATGAAGATTGATAAATCCATCGAGAGACCAATTGTGCATTTCTCCACAGATATATGGTTGAGGCATGACATTTATCTAAACTCATATGAACGTGAGGCTAAATATAAATATTCGCCGGACCCGGAAGAACTTGTTAAAGTATTTGACAAAGGGTGGTTCCTTTATCGTCTTCCCTATCCAATTGAAATTTCAAAAATTGAAAATTCTGAAGATAGAAGATATCAAGTACACACTGGAATCAAATGCTACACTGAAAATATTACCAAAAATTCTTCCGTTAAAGGTCCTTTCGTAAGTGTCCACTCAACATCATCACATCCTTTTTTTTTTAAAAAAAAAAAATTATTAACGTTAACTCGTTTTATTGATGATAGTCGGTAGAATATGTTTGTTTGAGACCACATATTCCGTATGATGACTGTCCGATCAACAATAGCGATTTAAATGGGAGCGAAATCGTTTGTAATGATGCTGATTATGATTATGATAGCATGGACGAAAGTTCTTCCGCTGTACAGAATAATTCTAGTTGTATTAATAGTGTGATTGATTGTGAAAGAAATACCAAAAGGAATAGTTTTGGAAATTTAAAAAAGAACAAAAGGTTATCTAAGATATTATGCGTTGCCTAATATTAATTAAGTTGTAATTAGATATCGTCTTTTTCATTTATTTTTTTTTTGTAGATTAAAATTATAGTTTAGGGTTGTAAGAATATTTTGGGTTATCATTCACGTAGTGTATAAAAAACATATTAAAGATATAAAAATGTCATGACTAATAAAAAAACATTAAAAAACGCGTTGCATTATCATTAAACCAAAGTTTAATAATTTATCACCTTACGTTTCATTTCATTAGAAACGTATTCAATGATACGGTTTTTTTAGATTATCTCGTAGATTTATAAGGGACTAACTATAATAAGAAATTAACTGCACGATTAGTAAACGAATAAATGGAGAAGTGGCAAAGAGCAATAAACGTTCGAATCCGCACAAATCACATGATTTTCCTTTCTTATATATAATAATTATCGATTTCCCGATGTTTGTTACACTTCCATACAAAATCTTTATCATGAATATGGAAAGCCATAAAAGTTTTAGTATTTTCACAATAACCTAAAATAAATTTCTTTATTTACTTATTATTTAGTTGATCCATTTTACACAATACAAATTTATTGGAATCTTGAATGGGAAATTCTTTGACACCAAATGTTAATCACTTATAATTCGAACACAGATGCAAAAAAAAGGTGACCAATAAGTACCTTTTTATAACATTATTAAACGCATAAAAAAAAAAAAAAAATTTAATCTAACATGATTCGATGCTTCCAAAAAAAAATGTTTCAAAAATAGCGGCTTAAAAAAAAGGGGGGTCGGTCAGTGATTCTAGGTAAATGACGATTTGTATACATTTTGTTGCTCAAATGCCGTCGTATCATAATTCGCCAAAAAAAAAAAGAAAAGAAAAAAATTTTTTTCGAACGTTTGATAAGCAACCCTTTCGATTCTTATCAAAGTTTCACCAACAATTTAATAAAATGTAAATATGGATTCGTTCAAAAAACCAGATTATGACTCAACTTTAAATTTAGGTCGTGTAATCTATATGCCAGAGTAACTCAAAATTAAGTCACGTAAAAATTTTAGACGTATCCGTGAAGAAGGAATAAGTCTGGACCCTTATCCGCGACTTCTTCATTTACCTTTGCGACTCTATTCGTCAAACATGGTAAAATGCAATTATCCTGATAAACAATTCAATGTTTGTATGGTATGGGAAAAAAATTTATCGAAAACCAAGGCGGTCTGAAAAATAAAAAAAAAAAAAACGAATTGAATTTTTTAAAAAGTCCAATGTGAAGTCATTCCATGGATTCATCGTTTGGATGAGTTATCCAAGACATGGTAGTAAATAATCAATATATTTACATACATACACACCGCACAGCATATGTCATACACCGGTTAAAAAGTATAAGCCCGATGTGTGGGCAAACAAATTGACGCATGGACGCATTGACGCAGTAACATTCTGGAGATAACGGAAATTATGACGAAAAAACTAAGTCGATTTAGTAAAACATCACTTAAATGGTGAAGATAGTTTAGGTACCTTCTCTTCAACTTTTGTGATGATTGAAAGAATTTCTTCAATTAATCACCAGCGAGAATATATTTGTATGGTTTGTCATTATTTTATATTTAATTAGTTAAATAAATTATATGAAGAAAAGCTTGCTAAACTTTTTTTCAAATTTTCCATAAACTTTGTATATTATTATTCAATCACGTGAATCGTGCACATGGTTAAAAAATAAAGCCTGAACAAATAAATAGGCATGACTTTAAGGGATAGAAACTGTGTTCTCAGTATACCGTTTCATACTTCATCAAATGGAATTCCTTCTCTTTGATTTGAATACAAAGCAAATAATATTTTTCTTTCACATTTATGAACTAAAAATACTAGCCTTCCACATAAAGATCGTCATCTGATTTGCTCAATACTTTAATTTATTACAAATAATCATTACAAATATATTATTAAATGTAAAAATCAAATTATAATGAAATTGACGTGTAAAACTGATATTAGTCTTTAACTTTTACATCTATGCTATTATATATAGTTTGAAAATATGTCAGGCTTATATATCACATGATTATTTTTAAAAATCGATATATTTTATAATATTTTGAATTTGAATATTATAAACTTAGGGTTATATTTATATTAAAGATATATTGAAGATAACTTGCTTTATTTTTTATTTAATATTATTCTTAAAAAAAATTAATATTACTAAAATTGTTGACTTTTTTTATTTTTTATATTTTACAAATTGTTAAAACCATATCGGCTGATTGAAAAAATTGGGGCTATTTTAGCATAACTGATATGCTGTCTATCTTTACAGTAATAAAAAATTTTATTTTTATTTTTATCAATTTTTGTAATTATTAAATAAATGAAATTTTCATTAAAAAAAAAGAAAATCTTAAATTTTATTAATTTTAATTATTAAATATTATTCAAATAATTTAATAAAATAAATTTTAAAAAAAACTATAAATTTTATTCATTTTAATTAATTGCTTTTCAAAATTTATTAATATTTTAAATTTTATAACATTATCTTTTTATTTTATATAAGTAATAAATTTATTTAAAATTCAATAAAAATATACAATTAATATTTAACTTAATAAAAAAAAACAAATTAATTGATGATTTGATTTTTGGATTTTTTGTAAATAATAATTTAAATTATTTAAATAATCAATAATATTATTTTATTAATTTATTATAAATATATTTTTTTTTTAATAAAATTATAATTAAATCTTAATATATTAATATATTAAAAATATTCTATATTTAAATTAATTTTTAAATTAATTATATATATAAACTAAAAATTTGTAATTTTTAAATAATTTTTATAAAACATTTTTAATTTTAAATAAAAATTTTAAAATATTTACTAAATTCACATATTGGAATTTTTCATATAAAAATTAATTATTATTAAGTAAAGATATTTTGTATTACTCAATAAAGATAATATTTAATTCTAAGTAATAAAGCAATTTAATTTTTTAAACATACATATCACATATAGTAGTGATCATAAAAAAATCTATTAAATTAAAATATTTCTTTTAATTTTAGAAATATCCTACTTTTTTTAATAAAATTTTATTTGTAAATACTATATTTTCAGTATTAAATTTTTAATATCTTTTAATACTTCTAACTCTAGAATAACCTGCAAGTAATACAAACCATGCATTACATTACTTTTAATTATTTAACATAAATCAGATAATTATTATTATGCTATAAAACTATTATATAAAAGGTATTTTTTTTATTATTATTTAATCTTGTAATATATTATAATTACTTAATAAATAAATAGTAGCATAAAATTGTAAAAATATTAATAATTTAATTAATTAAATTTTAGTCTGATTTTATCAATTTGAAGATAAAATTAAACTGGATTAATTTATAAACTAATTTAAAACTAGAATCTAAACTGAATTGAGACTGAAATTTATTTGTATAGTATATTATAAAAATTTTAGACAAAATTAAAAAAATATAGAATTGTATGATATTTAACATTTTTAATTAAAAATTTTATTATAATAAAAATAAATTTAAAAAAATTAAATTATATAAAAAAAATTTTTTTTGCAATCTATTATTATTTAAAATATTATTTCTATCAAGTTTTTAATCTAAAATAATTTTATTTTATTATGTATCTCTATAAATTTAATATTTATTTATAAATTTTTACTATTCTTTTTTTTAAAATCTAATGCTTCATATAAATAATTATCTTTATTGTTTTAGAATTTAACCTATTTTTAACTTTAAGATAATTAAACCTGAAATTGAAAAGATTCTTTTTAATAAAATTGATATTACTTAGATTATTTATATAATTCTTAGCTATATAAAATCAAATTAAAAGACTAATATTATTATCTTTAGATATCTATCTAATTTATCATATGGGTTGATTGCTAGGAAAATCAGGTTTTGGGAATTTTTTAGCAAAATTGAAATTTTTATTGCATTTTAGTTTTTGATGTTATTAGATTAAAATGTATTAAGCTTTTAATTTAAGTTAAAAATTTCTCAGAACCTGATTTTCCTAGAAACACTCCCATATATTATTTATTAATAATTATTTATTTAAGCAAATTAAAAAAATAATCTTAAGATAATACCTTTTTTTAATAATTTTAATTAAGTCATTATTATTAAATAATATGAATTATAATACAAATCTAATACTAAAAAAATTGTAAAAGTATAATTTAAATGATTATCTTAATATTTTTTATATCATTTTATATAAGATTTAATGATGATAATAATAACTGTATTTGCTTCATATATAAATTTTAAAATTAATGATAATTTCTAAAAATTAATAATAATTAAATATAAAATAAAATAAATAAATATAAAATAATAATTATATAATAAATATCAAGATCTTTAAAATTTATTATTACAAGTAAATTAGAAACATATTGCATTTAAATTTATTTAACAATCATCAAATATGTAGAATTTTAATAGATATTTATATCTAAAATTAGCTTTAAAATCTAATTTTTCTAATAGTACAAATTTATAATAATTTTTCTAATATAATAATAGTAAATGTTTTATTTTAATAACAAATTAGCAATGTTTTTTAATTTTATCTTTTACATATTTCATTCTAACTTTTATTACTAAATTGATAATGTAAATAATACATCAAAAGTGAATAAAAGATTTATCATTAAATTCTTAATCTAATATAACTGCTAATTAATTAATATATATTATTATATTATTTTTATTATCTGTTATTATAGCAAAAATATTTTGACTAATATTAAATTTTTCAAAAAATTGTGAAAGTTTACTTGTAATTAATTCAGCTTTATGAGAACTATTTATAGAAATTATTTCAAATAAAAGTTTCTTTAATTTTCAATTATTATAATTATTATTAATATATAAATTATTATTTAAAATAACAATTTTTTGAATCTGATATATTTGTTATAAAAAATATTTTTGAATTAATTTATGAAATTTCATCAATTAATCATTTTTTTTTATATCATAATTTTTACAAATTTTTTTTTAAAGTTTATTTACATAAATTAAATTAGAATTCAACTTATTAATTAACAATTCAAATTTAATACTTTAATAATAGAAAAAGATTATAAATTAGTTACAATAAAATTTATTATGAATTTATGATAGTATTAAATTTTAATAAAGAATAGGATTTAAAGTGCATTTTATTTAAAATAATTTGATAATTTTTAGTTTTTTTAATAATAAAATAAATGTTTTTTATTTAAATATTTTAAAGGATAGAATTGCTAGAAAAATAAATTTTAACAAATAAAATGCATTTATAACTTATTATTTTTACAATATAAATAATAATGCAAAATAAAAATAATTCTAATTAAAATGATTAATACATCTTATAATTTACACAATACACTATTTATATAAATTGATCATCTAAACTAGTGTAAAAATCAGTTCAATTTAATTTAATCTCAGTTTAATCTAATTTTCAAATTAAATTGAAACTAGTTTATAATTAAAGTAGATCTGATTACAAATTTTAATATCTTTGCATAATTTAAATACAAAATTATAAAATGAATATATGACAAGAGAAGTATCAAAAGGTTTATATTTTTTACAGTTTCTGTTTTAAAAAAAGATGGTTTAAAAACTACTCTTTTAAAACTTAGCAAGAATAAATCATTTATTTATTATAAATAAACTAACATAAAGAAAGATTATTAACTTTATTATTTTTTTATTAGCTATTAAAATACGATACTGACTATAAGAAAAGATAATATTAACTTTTTAATACTTACTATTCATTATATACTTCAAAATAATAGGTTAATAAGATTTAAAAAAAATGCTATACCTTAGTACAGTGTTAGCATTTAGTCGTTTGGCAGTTTGGTCACAGCCAAAATGACTAATTTTATTTTAAGTTTGACTAGCCAAAAAAATTTTTTTTATATAATAGTTCACAAATGAAACAGAAATATAATTGGTTAATTGCAAAAAAAAATTTGATGCCTCTGACGTTAGGAACATTAAAAATTGTAAAAGTTGACACTTCTAACATTTGAAATGTTCTATTTTGTAAGAATTTTAACATCTCAAACGTTAGAGGTATTAATTTTTGCAATTTTAAACATTCTGACATTGGAAGCATCAATTTTTTGCTATTTTGCAAGAAATTTAAACATCTTAAATGTTGAAGACATCAAGTATTTTTTGCAATTTTGCAGTAAATTTAATAAATTGCAATTTGCAAATAAACTGCAGCCAAAATTGACAAAGTTATATGACATTTGGCCAATTGGCAATTTGGTTGCTGATTTTGGCTGATCGATCAAATCGGCTAGCGGTCAAAAAATTAGGCTTGGTTGCAGTCAAATGCCAATTATGCCTTAGTAAAAGACATAATAAATATAGATATAATTTGCAAAAAAGTATGAAAATTGAATGATTAAAGACTAGTCAAAAGTAATATGATCTGATAAATCAAATTCAAGTTTTTAGTTCTATGAGAAACATTATTACTGAAAGCATCCTGAAGAATCAATAAAAGATCACCATATTAAACCTACAGTAAAATTTAAAGGCAGGTCAGTCATAATATGGGGATGTTTTACATCTCATGATGTTAATGGTTATTGTAAGATTGATAGCATAAAAAATGCTGAATTATATCAACAAATTCTTCATAAGGATTTAATCAGCACCATCACAATACATGGTTTTACTGTTAAAGACATTATTTTTCAACATAATGGATATCTAAAACATATGACAAATTCAACAAAACAGTGGCTTAAGAGAAACAAGTTGACGATACTAGATTGGCCATCCAATCCCCGAATCTGAAACCATTGAATATTTATAGAACGAGGTTGACCGTCAGCTTAGACACCTTCCTAGACAAATTTCAAGTAAAGAGGACTTATGGAATAAGATACAGCAGGTCTGGAAAAAATTTGATGTTGAAACTTGTACTAACCTAATTCGGTCTATGCCAGAAAGGATTCATGATGTCATCAAGGCTCGGGAAGGATATACGAGGTGGTAATTGTTTCAAATTCAAAATATATTTTTAAAAAAAGGATGTTCAAATGTATTAATTTCGGATGTTTGTTATTCGAGTTGTGTTAAAAACGAAAAAAATAATGCAACAGTATTACCCGAATAATTATATATAATCTATGAAATAATTTACTTATTAATCCATATTTAAATTAGAAAATTATTTATTTATCACCGTAAAAGAAATATGAAATTTATTTTTTTGTTGCATTATTTATGATCGCATGATTCTGAATCAACTAGGATGCTGTTTCATCATAAAATTAGATAATGAAATTAAAGAATGTAGCAAATAACAGAATGAAAATGAGCGAAAATTCTCATTGTTTTTGGGCACTTACTATTATGATTTGATTGCTTCTAATTTGTTTGTTTGAATCGAATAAACCTTTTTATTAGCGATAATTCCACGGATCGGGAAATAAAATTGAGATTTATCTCAAAGTTGTTCCTTAAAAAAAGGTCAAATTTGCATACTTTTGTATTCCCATAACTTAACAAACAACTCGAAAAATACTTTTATTCGCCCTAATGGGAAAGAAAAGTTTCTATACCATTATGACGACAAATTATTTCTCTAACTCTTTTAACATGGTGACATGATTGTCGGTTCTATCTCAAATTGAATTTTTATAATTATGTAAGTATATCGTTATATATATACTCTTTTCAAGTAATCAATGTCACATCATTATAAAAAAAAAAATATTATTATTTTATTGAATATATATAAAGTTTTCTTTTCTTTTTATTTTCTCTTTCTCTTGTTATTTGCTGTAATAACTTTTTTTTTTTATCATGGAAAGCAAGGATAAAATGTTTTGGACTTCCTCCGAAAACTTCGACGACGTTATAATCGAACCAGATATTTCAACAGCTATTGAATCTTCTCTTCAAGAAAATCAAAAGATATATCAGCAAATTTATTCAAATGAAATCATTTCGGATTTTCCATTGGAACTTTCAACAGGTAAAATTCTATAAGAAATTTTTTATTCTATTGTGATTAAACTGAAAGTCAATATTTTTTGTTTTGTAGATGATATTTGTCTGGGCTATCAGTTGACAGATTCCTATCCTTCTTTCGATGCCTCTTCTGCTGTACAATTACCATTTGATTCCTATCCTACACTTGCTACGGATTCAATTTTAGCGTCACCAAATAATCTTAATACACAACAAAACTTGCATTATTTCTTTAATACACAACAATTTAGTAATCAAATTTCTGAATATGCAATTCCTTCTAGTTCACACCACATAAATCTCTTGGAAACTTCTGATTCTTTGTCGATCTCTCAACCAAATTTTCTTGATCTACCATTTGATTCTCCTCCTTGTCAATCAATTTTTACAATTGGTGTACACAATAATCAAGAATCAAATAATCATGATGATAATTCTACAATATATGAATCTAAACAAGAGAAAAAAAAGCGTCAGAATAAGGTCGCTGCACAAAAATCTCGAGAAAAAGCAAAAAATTTATTAATCGCATTGCAGGAGGAAAATGATAGATTGAAGAAAGAATATGAAGAGAAATTGGAGGAAATTAAAAGATTGAGGTTCATATTAAATAGATTAAAGGAGGAACGAGGCGGAATGGAAAATTTTTCTAACAAAATTTAAATTAGGAATACTTTGACATTATTGCTAGGAATTTTTTTTTTTTTTTTGCTTTTTTTTAGACGTATTTGTAAATTGATTGACACGGTTATCATAATCAAATAAAGGATTATTGTACACCCGGCGATCGCAAAGTTAAATAAAGTATATAAAGTGCTCTTGTTTGGCATTAAATTAAAAAATAAATTATATAATAAACGACAGTTTTTTTTAATTATTTTTATAATCATATATTATATTACGAAATTACATTTTGAACTAAAAAATACAATGGAACAAAAATTAATAGGATTAACATCATTATCAAAAAAAGCTTTACAATTAGGAGAAAATTTATGTTCTAAAGCTGATAATTTGGTGAAAGAATGTAAAGTTGACGTTAAAAATATTGAAAAAGTTTGTCCAAAGTTGAAATTTCTTTGGGGGGAATTAGAAGTTCAAATTCAGGTATTTCTTATATAAAAACCTTTTTTTTTTTTTTTTGATTTTTTGATTTAAAATCATTAATCACTAATTTTAATTACTCTGTTTAACGTATGAAGTCAGTTGAAAAATTGAAAAGTTTTGCAGAAAATCAAAATGGAATTTTACAAATATTTTACTCGGTAAGTAAAAAAAATGTAATTAAAATGCTTTATTTTTTTTATTTTTATTTTATTTTTTTTTTTTCTTAAAATTTTTTATCGATTTAATTTCTAACGACTTTTTTTTTTTTAATAAAAAATAATTAATAATAAAAACAACAATAAATCATGGGCTACATACAGAATAAGGAACAAGAATTAACAATTTTAAGTAACGAATTGGATAGTACATTACAAAATTTACGTAGTAAGCAAGTTGATTCATCGATCAGAGAGAATGCGATTGCATTGGAAAAATCAACACGAGAAAATACACCACCAGGAATAGGTGATTTATGCGGAGGGGAAAAAGGACTTGAATTCGATTTTATTGAAAAGGAAGAGAATAAAATTGAGGAAAAGGCTACTTTATATGATTATGTTGAAGAACATAGTATACAAGAATTAAAAGATAAGACTCAAGAAGAAATTTCAGCTGTCTTGGTAAATATAAATATTTTCACTTGACGAATTTTGGATGTTTGTTTTTCAAAAAATACTTTTTAACAAATCAATTTATATAGCACTATCATAATAATAGTTCAACATTGATTGAACAAATAAAAAATCATCATTTACAATTTAGTGAAATGCTTGAGAATCATACTATCTCTTTTGAAGAATCTGTTTCAGAATTTGCTCGTGGTAAATGTAACGTATTAGATCAAGAAACTCACTCTATGGCAGATACTTTAGTTTCGTTAACGAGACATTATGGTCAAGTAGCGGCTGCTTTAAAGTAGGTTACTACTTTATGAAATCCATTTTTTTTACTTTATTATTATTATTATTATTTTTTTTTTTTAATAAAATTTAAGAAATTTTTTATTATTTATAGAGCATGTCGGTCGAATGCTGAAGTTGGATATAAATTAGATATTTCTGGTAGAATAAATAAATTTCTATAATTATATTGTAATTGTTTATTTCTAAGATATGTAACTTAAAACTTATGATTATTATTCATTCATTAGTTTTACAGGGAGATACCGATTTAATACCAACTATAATTGAGGAACTACAAGAAAGTCTTCAAAAAATTGAATCTACAAGGTGAATGCAAAAAGTTTTTTGATTTTTTTTTTTTAAAAAAATCTAAACTTTTGAATTATTTAGTGAGGAGGTTCGTATTCGAAATCAAATTTATCAAGTATCTTATGATGAGGCCATCAAACTGTTTATGGAATTGGAAAATTTTGGGGCATTGATGGAAAATTTTGCAAGCACGATGAAAGTACTTGAACTTGATTTTGAGAAAAGTTCTGCTACTGTAGATCGTTACTTGGAAGAATTACGCAATTTAAATTTATGGTAATTCTTTTATTATAATATTAACTAGAATGATATGATAAGATAACATGTATATGTATTTTTTTTAAAAAAAAAACTAGGTACGAAGAATTCTCTAGATCATATGATTCTATGATTATAGAGATTGATAGAAGAAATAGGGTCAAAGAACAACATGAAAGAATTGCTGAAGAATTTTTAATAAAATTGGATGGATTATATACTGGTATTTACTAGTTATAATTTAGTTAACTTTTTGTTGCGTTTTATATATATTATTAACTTTAAAAAATTACTTTTATTTAGAGGAGGAACAACAGAGAGATTTATTCTTCCAAGATCATGGAAGATATATACCCATAGATCTGTGTCCCCCTATTCAGGTAATTTTTTTTTTTTTTTTTTTTTGTATTATAATTATTTAAAATTGTCTAAGGAAATTATTCTTTTCTAGGATCTTCCAATTAGATATGAAATAATTCCTCAAAATAATTCACGTTTGCCAACAATATCACATAAATCGTTAGCAGAAGTAAGGAATTCTTATATTTATTTTATTTATTTTTTAAAAAAAAAAAAATTTAAAAATTTCTTTTTTATAGGCTCAAGAAAATTTATTAAAACATAGAGGAAGTGTGCCGTAGCTTTATGTTGATAATATTTCGAAATATTTAATATTTATAATCTGAAATGTTCTTTTTTTAATTAAATTTGTTTATTTCATAATAATGCCTATTAAAGAATCGATTGATTTAAGGGATTAAAACAATATTAAGGAGTGGCTAAAGGATAAAGTAATATATATTAAATAATAAATACTTTAAAATAATAATAAATTTAAATAATAAATATTATTGCATTTCTTATTATACCAATTTATTATTTGCTTTAAAAATAATTTAAATTATTTTGATATTACCATTTTATTCTAATATTAATCACCTTTCGAAATTAAACACCTCCCTTACTTTACACGATTTCAAATATAAACTGAAAATAGGTATCCCTTCAACTAACTTTTTAATTTTACTATATTATTGGAAAAATCAAAAAATTACATTAATAAAAAAAAATACATTTACAAATAAAAGAATTTAAATTCTAATTAAATTAATAATTTCTATTTCTTCTTTATATTCTTATTCATTTCATAAATTTCATAAAGAATTTCATCAATATAAATTTCATCATCATCTGTTTTATCTTAGGCATTTGATATACCACACTTTCTAAAGAATAAATAATATTTTCAAAAATATTTTTCCATAACCGTTTAACCTATCTATACATATCACATTATTTAAAATTTTTCAATAATAATATATTTAGCATTACCATTAGTCATCCAACCATTCTCTACAAAGATTATCTTTAAAAGGTTTATTAATTGCAATATCAAATAATTAATTAACATAATTATTTTTAAATTTTTATTTAATTGATTCTTTTAGATGTTTTCTAAAAGAATCATATACTATTATAGCTAAAATCAGGATTGATTATTTGATATTTTTATCTGATTAAAATAATTAATGTAATGCTTCATTAAGTTAGCATTCATCCATCTACTTTCTTGAAATTATATAATCATATTAAAAAGAAATTTTCATAATGTGATATTTGCAGAAGATTTTAAAAACATTTTTTTTTATAATCCAACAAATTAGATTTTTTTTGTATTAAATAAATCAAAGATTTTTATCTATTACATATATTAAAATAATAGTAAATCAATTATTTTCATTACTAAGGTTACTGAATAAAACCTAAAGGTTTTGCAAATCATCTAAATGGAAAAAGGTAAAATTTGACAAAATTATATTAAAACTTTATTAAAAAATCTGTGAAATTCTGAATAAAACTTTAGTAAAAAATTAGTAAAACTATAGTTTAGATATTTTGTCAAATCCAAAATGAATTTAGATAAGCAACCTTACTTGTATCATAAATATGAACAGTTTTTTATTCTTTTAATTAATAATAATATTTTCAATTATATATTAGATTAAACTGGAGTTTTATTCATATTAAAAATATTATATAATTCAATAAAATTCATATTCTAAAATAAATTTAAATAATAAAATTTCCAATGATACTTCTAATTATTTTAAATGTTTTTAAAATATTTTAATATATTTTTTTAAAGCTAAATTATACCTTTTCATAATATAGTTAACTATTAAAATATTACTATAAAATTATTTGCTAAATTACTATATTAAGATACTATATTTAATTTATTTAAAATTTCAAATATTTAAAGTTTTATAATTATAAATATTACTATTAAGATTATTTATCTAAACTTATTTTGAATTTGTAAAATATCTAAACTTTAATTTACTAATTTTTTATTAAGATTTAATAAAATTTCGTATTTTTATAAGTTTTAATATAGTTTTATCTTTTCTTAAGTTTCACAGATTTTTTAATAAGATTTTATTAAATTTTATTTTTTATCATTTAGATGACTTACAAAACCTCTAAATTTTATTTAATAACCTTAGTAACTATTAATGTTTTTTTTCTTTGTTTAATAATGCAACTATATAATTTTTTTAACTTTTAAAAAATAAACTTTTTGTCTAAAACTCATCTGCATAATATTATTTTTGATTTATCATTTCTATTAGTAAATCATTATCTAATTACTATATAATTTTTTATATTATATTAAATTTTATTCAAAAAATGCTAAAGAGAAATTTATGTTATTGCAAATAGTCTTTTAAGAACTTTAATTTTTATTTATATAAAAAAAAAATTTATAATATTTAATTATTTTATATTAAAATAATAAAATTAATAAAATAACTTTTGAAATGAAGTTTTTACAAGTGAAAAAATTGTATTAGTAAAATATAAAGTAATATATAAATTATTTGAAAAGATTTTATTTTGCTATATATATATATACACTATTTACATTTTAATTGTAAATAATTATATTAAATTAATATATGAAAAATATTGAAAAAGTTAGAATCAAAAAAAAATTAACTTTTTTAAAAATAATAAAAATTTTGAAAATAAAAGAAAATAAAAAAATAAAAATAGTTTAAAGAAAAAATCTAAAAGATTTTTTAT